TTCAGTCCTGCATACTACCTTTGATAAACACAAACAACTGTGAAAAGGCAACATAAATATCAAATATTGGCCTAACACATAGTATTTTTTTGCAACACAAATTGATATTTTTTTTGTAAACTGCTTACAATTGTTCCAGGATATTTCCTGTGTGTGCTTGGTTTGCCTGAATTATATTACTGCATTATTAAGAATAAAATTTTAAACAAGTGGTACTGATTAATTCATGTTTTTAAAACATTCCTAAATTAGCTCAATGAAGTTTTTATTAGTTGCTGATCTGGCTTACATTTCAGTACAGCACTTGATCAAAACACTTTATTGCCACTAAACCCATAATGTCAGTAGCCTTAAATATAAGCAGAACATGCAAGAGCAGATACCAAATTTATTAACAAATTATTTACAGCATAAACGTTACCTTGTCAATTATATTTTCTATTTTCCCTTCTTCTACAGACTTCTTTATAGTTTGTGCCGTTTCAGCAACTGACTCAGATATCTTTTTTGTGGCAGTAGTGGCAAAACTGAAGAGATAACCTTTTGGAAATAAGACAATTAAATTTTTCTTTATTACAAAGTCTTTAAGATATGCTGCACGATAACCTACTAGGACCTTACAGAGTCAAGTCATTCAGTTCTTCCAATTCCTAGAACAGTGTGGTCTAATGTGCAGGCCTTGAGGCATTTTTGGTAGCCCTCAGCAACAATTCACACCCCCACACCCGCTTTGCCTTGTGCTGCATAAGGAAAGCCAGGTGAGGGATGGGCTTTGGTAAGGTAGTGTGAGGGCTCTGACAGGGTCCTAGAGCCCTCCACTCTCCTTCCCAAAGCCTGGTACCTTGCCAGGGGTGGACTTTGGTCTTTCAGATTTCAGCAGTGCCCTATGCGAGGCCAAAATTTGGCACCCTCAGTTTTCTTGATTTTAATTTTGCTCAGTTCACTACATCATAGTTGCAATACCCTGCAGTTCTCCCTAGGCTCAGTGCCAATGGCGGCTGAACTGGCCATGCTGCCCTAAATCCACATCTGGCCTCACCCAGCTTTGGGAATGCAGCACGAGGACTTGGGGGTGTCAAATTTTTGCCTCTCCCCCCACGTGATAAGGCAGTGTGTGGCCTGTGGGTGTGCCAAAGAACTCTTGCGGCCCACTTGATATGAAAAGTGGACCACCCTTTATGGCCACATTAATGGACCACCATTAATGTGGCCTGTGCATCAATGATATTGATGCACAGGCCACATTAATTTCCATCTACCTATTTGTGTGTGTGGCAGATGTGAGGAATTCTGGACTGCACATCTTGTAAGCGGGAAAGAGCAATGTGTATTATGTAAAAATTTAAGGTAACAGTACCTTTTCCAAGATGCTGCATTTGAAGCTGTTCTAAAGTACACAGCAATAGAAAAGGAATCCATTATGAAGACAATCTGTTTTGCAGACATAAAAAGCTAACATTTATTTGTATCACTGATAACCTAATGCCTTATTTTAGCTGGATTTGTTGTTACATTAAGAAAAATCTAACTACTCCGGAATTAGTGCTTTACTGCTTACTATCCATTCCTCAGTTGTAATTTAAAGTCAATTGTGGTAGTTTCTATTAAATTCAAAGCAAATAATGACAATTTAGTAAAGCTCAAAATGTTGATAGAGAAATCTAGTTATGTTCAGAGAAGTCACATACTACTTTTAATAACTCAAGCGGTATCATTATTGCAAATTGGAAACGACCAACAGGGCTTGCATAAAGATACAGTACTGTTATTTCCCTTTAATAACACATCCAGAGACCATAATTTTGAAGTGTTCCTATTTTTAAAAAGAGTCATACCCCACCTAACCACAGAAAACACTAGGCACAAAGCTGACATCCCACTGTTTTTGTTAATGTCACTTATGTTTTAAGGTGTATGGAACTGTAACAGAACATATCTTGAACCTTTTCTAGTGTCCCTGAAAGAGGTGAGTGATTTGTGTTTTTCTCGTGCTTAAAAGATGCAACTCTTTAAGAGATGTTGGGGTGCTCACTGAAGGAGAAGCAATAATTTCAAAAGGAAGTTAGCTCAGAAATAAGGCTCGCAGAAGTGGGTGAAGCTTACTCCCCGAGTACTCGCACATAGGACTACTTAGCTGCAACCCACAATCCATACTAACGGAAGCAACTTCCATGGAGTAAAACAGGCTACAGGCTGCTGCTTTGAAAGCCGCACTTAGGTTGGCAGTAATCCCTAGTGAGCACACTCCTGCGAAGCTCCACGCTGCGGAAGTGCACGTCCAGGGGGGCTTAACTCCAAGCAACTGCGAAGAGGGTACCTGAGCAGGTGGCTTGCTACATTAATAGGGCGGCTGTGGGGGTTAGTTATATGAGCTTGAAGGGATGCTTTGGGAGTCTGGACGCGAGAAAGGAAGGCCTTTGGGGAAAGGGCGTTAAAGGGGAGCAAGGGAGACACTCACTGCCCAGCCCCTTCGCCTGGTTCAGAAGCGGGTCCGAGTCCCTCTGCAGCTCCACCTGCTCCGGGCTCCGCACTGCCGCGTCCCCTCCAGTCCCCTCTTCTCCCTCCTCGGCAGCAGCAGCAGCTCCGGCTTCCCCTTCGAGGAGAGGCGGCTTCTCTTCCTCGCCTTCCCGGCTCATGCCGAACCAGCCGCTCAGGCCGCGCAGCATCCTTACTAAGTGGCGAAACGCCGCCCCCTTCGAGCAGGTCGCCTACTAATGCAGCGCCAAAGCCCCGCACCCCCAACCCCTTCAACCGTTTCCAACGACTTCACGGGAACGGCGCCCCTTCCTGAGAGCAAGGCAACGTTGTTTGTTTCCGGAAAAGGGTGCTCGGCTACTTCCGAGTTACGTCACCCCGACGCGTCACCGCGGGCACCGACGCTCTAGGCTTCCTCTCCACGCCTCCGAATGACTTTGGCTGGATATAGTTCTATTGTCCATCCTGCCCGTGTGCGTTTGTTCGAAAGAGCTCCTTCCTTCGACAATGTTAAGATTCTTTCTTCGAAAAGAAATTTTTGAGACACGTAGCGTGATATTTTTATACCTTGCATTTAGTAATGTTGTAGTGGAAGTCCCCCCCCCAGCCTTAAATGCAATATCTTTAGGCGAGCCTACGAAGAACCAGGCTGCAGCACCTGAAAGAACGAGACTAGCCCCCGCTTAACGTGGGCACAGCACAGGGGAATTTACTTTCCAACAAACATGCAGAGGATTGCGCTGTAACATTATGATGGCATAAGCTTTCATGAAGGGAACTGAAGCCCACAAAAGCGTGTGCATCATAAATACGTAGTGGTGCAACGCTACGCTTGTCTGCTCAGGATGCCCCACTTAGTTCAATGGGACTTGTTTACAGGTGTGCATTGGTCTGCTGCCTTATTAGACTTTCAGCTATTACAACTCTTGCTTTTTTTTTTACTGTAGCAGATTCCCTTCTGAAGGTTTTCAGCAGTGATTACTAGTTATCCTACATTAATCGTGGTTTAATAAATACAGCTAATTGAACTTCAGTTCCCATCCTGAACACTGTTAAGGAGTACTAATGCTAAAGGGACTAATCAAGGCTGTCACACTAGAGTTTTGTGCCAAAAAAGGAGTAATTATAATAGAGCAAATAATGAAAAGCACAAATGAATAATTAGGTCCCAGAGCTTGTCCAAAGAGATTTCAGGATAAACTAGCACATGATACAGCCATCTCTTCAGATGCGTAGATTTAAAAGAATCAAATGCATGCTAGTAAAGCTGAAATCTCGTATGTGCATTTTAGCTCTAGTAAACTTGTTCTTGGCCATATAAAACATTCAGGATTGTGTTGCGACCCTATAGCTTGGTACTAAGCATATTAAGTGCCCCCAGGGCTATTGGATGGGTGGCTGAGGGGAACTTTAGCTGTCCTGGTTGCTGGACTCCAACTCTCATATTTCCCATTGGCCAATGCTGACTGATGCTGATGGAGTCCAACAGTATCTGAATGGCCACAGGTTCCCACATCTGTTTCAAGGTAATAACTGAGTGGCTGAATATTCAAAAATCAAATATTTGCCTTTAGTGTAGGCCAAGGGACAATATTATAAAGCAGACATTGCTATGGACTCCTAGGTCTTTGCAAATCATTCAGCCTCTTTTGTAAAAATGGGCCTTAATACACTTCTATTCCACGCCTGCTTCTTCCCTGGCGAGGAGGGGGCACCATTTTGTCATTCGTCAAAATGTATTGAGCTGGCCCTACGTATTGATTTTGTGGGCCAAAAAGCTCCGACACAGATGGCAGGCAGCCTGTGGCACTGGTACTCCCTAAGTTGCAGGAGCAGCTGAAGAAGGTCTTGGGGACCTGGTTATGGTGCGAAGCCAGCCCTCCTCCTTCCTTGCTGCCTACCTGTCGCCTCAGTCACCCACAGAAGTGATTCTTTCATCACTGTGCATGCAAATCTGTGGGCAAATCTGGTGGCTCGCATGCATGATAGAAAGCGAGTGTCATTATTAGCAGGTTACAGGTAGGTAGCCGTGTTAGTCTGCCATAGTCGAAACAAAATAAAAAATAAAAAATAAAAAAATCCTTCCAGCAGCACCTTAGAGACCAGCTAAGGTAGTTATTGGTATGCGCTTTCGTGTGCATGCACACTTCTTCAGATACACTGAAACAGAAGTCACCAGGCCCTCATATATAGTGAGAGGGTGGGAAGGGGTATTACTCAGAAGGGTGGTGGCAAACGGCGCTGCCTCTGTGCGCGTGCAGAGCGCATTCCGCCTCATTCCTTCTGGGGTTAAGAAGGCAGGACTTCTGCGCCTCCGGGACCCGTTTTCCTGAAGGAAAAAAACCACAGCGGCTGGGCTTGAGAGTTTTGAGCCCCCCCCCCCTCTAGCGGCCGCTTGGGATAGGGCTTTTGCGAAAGCTGCCGTCTCCTTGCAACCAGCCGGCGGGGAGGGGGCGGCGACGGCCGGGGAACTTGGCTGCGACGGTGACGCCGCTTCTAGGACAGCGCCGGGCGCAGGTAAGCGGCCTCTCGGGCCTCCTCACCAGGGCGAGCGCGCTGGCTCTCCTGAGCGACCACGGGAGGCCCCCGCGGCGGCGGCAGGAGGAGGAGCGCCGGCCAAGTCCCTCTCCCGCCCCCTGGGTCGCAGTGGGCGCCCCGTCCCGCGGCCATGGCGGCGGCCTGAAGGCTGGCTCCTGGGGGGTTGATTCCTAGAGCAGGCAAAGCAAAGCTTCGGGCCTCCTCCTTGCTTGGATCCCTCCTCTCCGCGACGGCGATAACAGGTGCAGGATTCGGGTTCCGTTCCTCATCTTACCTACCGCCCGCACTCAATTCCCGGGAAGGGGGATCTTTTAATACGCCACACTTTATAGAGTCCCTTCCAGAGCGAGTTTCTTTATTGATTGCGTTTATTGCTCCGCGGTTCGCCCTCCAAACAACCCTGCGAGGTAGGTTGACCTGGGAGATTGTGACTGGGCCAGTCCTTGCTGTGTCCCAACAGTACAACCGCTGCACTATTATACATGGTGGTTTAGCTTTGGCGCTCTTAAAAAAGTGCAGTGCTGTGCCACAAAACAAGCATTTATTTGTTAATAATTCGTTGCAAGGGTGGATAATTAAAACACTGGAAGGACGCATCTGGAAGGCCTCATCCCTGGCATTGGCAGCTGTTCCCTAGGATGCCAGATAAGTCTTTTTCCCAGAGATGCCAGGGATTAGACCTGAGACCTTCTGCAAGCAAAGCATATGCTCCACCACTGTCCATTTAGCTCAGTATTTTGCCTTCCGCAGTGCATCATGTACAAGAACAAGAGTACTGTGCGTGGACCCTTTGGAGTTCCCTTGTTCAGGGTTTTAGGGATCCAGCCATACCTTCTTTCAGAATTCTCCATTCTGTTGCTCCCAATCAAGTTTAGCAATCTGTGGCTCCTCACCATACCCAGTCCTCATTGAACTGTTCTGTTTTCCCCCACCACTTTAACATTTATTGTTAAAAAGATTTTTTTCTGCTATTGTAAGCTTTGAGGCACCCTCTCTCTTGTTTCTCATTAGCCCAGTTTTGGCTACATAGCTGTCATTAACTTAGCACCTAAATTTGTTGATTGTCGATATGATTCCTGTCATTAGGAATACTCTGAACATCACAGTGCCTTCTTGGATACTCTGCCTTGTTGCTGGTGATGTTGAAGATCCTGTCTTTAGGCATTTCTCTGTCCTTCCTTGAACCTATTTATATTGCTGTCTTCTGGTGTCAATGAAGAATTTTACAACAACATAAATTTCACAGGGAGTTCCATGAAAAGCGTGAAAAATACTTTTCCATATTGAAAATAGCTCCAGCTTTTCTTCTTTTTATAGGGAAATTCATAGTATTTCATAAGTTCACTTTTAACTCTTCATTTTTAGATTTCAAGCTCAAGTACCACAGTGTATCCATAATTATCCCATGAAGTACATCCTGGTAACTGGTGGTGTCATCTCAGGCATTGGTAAAGGAATTATTGCAAGCAGCATAGGCACCATCTTGAAATCATGCGGTCTACGAGTTACTGCAATCAAAATAGATCCTTACATTAACATAGATGCTGGAACCTTCTCGCCATATGAACATGGTACGAGTGACACAAACGTCTTTCCCCTGCAAATTTGTTTGCATTCCTTTTTATTGAGAAATTGATCTCTTTTTCTTTTTTGGAATATGAAGCTGTGAAATGTCCGATATAGTAGAGTGTAGAAACAGAAGTCATGCTGAGTTCAATGAGGTGCCTAAAACTGCAATCCAATGCACATTTAACTAGGAGTAAGTCTCATTGAACTCAGTAGGACTTATGTCTCAGTAAACACACTTATCTTGCATTTCTCTCAGTTAACTGCCCAGTGTGATATCTAACATGTGTTTATCTTGCATAGGATTGGTTCACATTTGTTAGGATCTAGTTCTCTGCTCCTGCCAGTCCTCCTACATCATTACCCATCTTGTGTCCTCCTGCACTGGGTTTTTTCTGAGACATCTGAACTGTCTATAGAGATTTCTGAATTGGATTTGGTCTCTGCAGAGTTTCTTGATTCATGACATATGAGAATTAGGGGAAGGGGGAGGCATTGCTCTTGCTTTGATTATCACTAGTAACCTCTGATCCAGCCTAAGCCTGCATAACTTTTGATGTTGATGTAGACCAGTTATATATTGTCATAAATTTGGGGGGAGAGGAGAGACCCCCCCTAAACCCAGGAAATTAATGAATGTCAGAATCTAGTTAATATTTGTACTACTGAATGGAAGATTTCAGGCCAGTGGAAAAATACAGGCTAAGCTTCCTTTCCAAGCGTGGGCCTCGCCTGGGCTAGAGAGGTTAACATGACAAAAGGTGTTGATGACCCACATCCAAGAGGAATCCTTGGGCCTGGGCAGACAGGAGTTGCTTAGATGACAGGGAGGGGGCAGGTTGTACTCACAGGAAAAATGTTCCTGTAAAAAACTAGGTTTGGAATAGCAGATGGATGAGGAGGAGTTATTTGGGCAAGAGGTGTCCTGGGAAGAAGGAGAGCAAAGGCAGATCCATCTTGGTAGACTGGCGGAACACAGGCTGGGAGAGATGTCTTGGAGTCCAGTGTTGCAGTGCTGTGGGGAACAAACCCCTCTTGAGATGACCATTCTGTAAGATCTGAACTCCCTCCATCCAAATTCAGGTATAAATATGTGAATAAATCATATTCTGCCACATCTTGATTCTCAACAGAAACACAAACCCGTGGTGAGCACCTGAAACCCCCTGTAATCTTGCTACTACTCAGCAGAGTTTGGGGTTGGCGTGCCACCTATGTAACAATATAAACAGGAGTTAGATTTAAAGCACCAGAAAGGTATGCGGTTGGGTGATTCTGAACCTTGGCCTCACTTGCCCCCAATGACTTTTTCTTTCAGCCAGGATCACTTTTACTATTTGAGTCTGTTTGGAGCAAAGGTCTCCCAGGGTTTGATGAACTTTGGGAGTAGCTGATGGGGAAAGTTCAATATCCCCCACCCATGTGTTCCTTTTGCATTATAAATCAAGTGTTTTCCGCTATTGAGGCCAGTCCATATTTGAAGACAGATCTATCACAATCATGTCTAATTTGGGCTTCTGTTTTCTATGTGGTTCTAACCAGGTTTACTAGAATAACTGGGACTTGTGAACTAATATAATCTTGCTGATATAAGAAAAGGAAATAACTTGCAGACAGAGGTTACAAGGACATAGCTACTAAGACGGAACGACTAATTTGTAGGATTTTTATTCTGATACATTACAGGGTAATTAAGTTGAGATTTATTGTTAAGAATCTCAACAGCATAGAATCACTCAAAAGAGCTGGCTGTAAAATGTGATGCATTTTATATTAGGCCTAATGTAGTAGGTGAATTTTTAACAGTAGCCTTTGGCACTGACATCTGTGACATATGATTTCTGGTAGAGGTAGCTGACCATGGTAATGCAGATCATGGAATATATTTTATGACTTAACTAATTATTTTTATTTTGTAAGAGATGATGCAAGCTGGCCTTTCTGCTGAGCTAATCATTCTTTTTGTGTTAGTTAATTTCTCATTGACCCAAGCATACAAGAAGAAAATGTGTCAGTGCATTAAGGATATACGATAGGCCCAGAACATAAAAACAGTGTGGGAAAATGGAAATCCCTTTTCAGCCTCATTCTAATATATAATGAATGTTCATGTAATTTCATGGATTTGGATATTTTTACCAAATGATTTCCCCCCCCCCCATGATTTTACTAAAATAGGTGGAGTCTGTCCCCCCTCCACCCCGAAATGGTATTAAGATTTCTCCAAGTTGTTTACAATGCATCTGCTAGTGGAAATTAGTTTTGTTTTTAGCTTATTTTTAACCATTATACATGGCCTTTCTGCTACTAAGAAATTACCTCCGTTCAACATCAATACTTTTGAAATATGCACTGTGTCTCTTAAAAGTAACTTGGCCTTCTGTCTTAATTTATTTTTTTGTGCTTCTTGTTACTTTTGTATTGACTTTGATTTTTTTTTAAAAAAAATTTTAACATACTTAGAGCAGACCTTTACTTCTCTGTGTACTGAAACTAGTAAAAGCTCCTGGTTCACAGTCAAATATAAAAGGCATATTCTTTAATTTGGACATATAGAATGGATGTACTTGAAATATATGTTTGTGCACAACATTGTGAGATTGAAGAATAAATATGTATGTTTCACCAAAATATGTAAAAGCATGATTTGTTTCTTTAGGTGAAGTTTTTGTGCTAAACGATGGTGGAGAGGTTGACCTCGACTTGGGAAACTATGAACGATTCTTGGATATTAACCTTTACAAGGATAACAACATCACCACTGGAAAGATCTATCAGCATGTCATCAATAAAGAAAGGCATGGAGATTACATGGGAAAAACAGTTCAAGGTGCTTTATCATATTTATATTCTGCCCTCCCTTCCTCGCTCTGTCATCATCCCAATTTATCTTGTTGACAACAATCCCTGGGTGTTAGATTAGACTGCGAGATTGTGATTTGGCCAAGGCTGTGATCTTTGAGCAGAGGTTTGATCAGAGGACTTCCAAATCCAAAGTCTTCAGTCATCTTCATATGGATTAGTTTAGTGTCTCATAACCAAAGTGTGGTATAATTGCCATTTTTTTTTTTTTAAAAAGTTATTTATTAGCTTAGTGTTCAAAACACACACCTAATGTATTTGACTGATGAAATAATCTTTGCAGGGCTGGCATCCCACTTGCCATATTTGTCTCTGTGATACTTTTTTCTTATTTAAATGCATAACCTTGCCTGGATGCCAAGTAGCAATAAAACTGTTCAAAATGTTGAAAGCAAATGACGACGACGTATGTACAGTATTTACAGAGGCATGTTTAAAAAAATCTTATGCAGAAGTGTTCAAACCCACTTTACCAGTGTTTCTAATAGTATAGAACCAGCCCAAATTGGTTCCAACATTTCACCAGCTGATACTGTGGGACTTCTCATTCCTTTTCTCCCTCCTGAATCACCCTCTTACCTTTCCCCCAGGTTGCGTCAGACAGTCCCCCAACCCTCTAAGCATATTGTTTCCTCCCTCCTAAAGAGGAAATCATGTTTGTGCAAGAAGTAGTCTGTCGCACAAGTGGAATGCTACTCCTAGATATCATCCGTTGCATTTGTACTTTATTTTCACTTCATTTATTCTTTTTTACTTTGAGGTTTTTGAGGGACCTTTTCAGATTCATATATGAAAGGAATTTGCTATAGCTTTAAATGCTGTCTTTTTCTTCTAATTTCATTGGATTGCATCAGATTTTTACTTTGAACAGAGTTGCATCTTGTCATGCATTTTCACCTTTTCTAGCATTACCATGTGGTTTGCCTTGCAGTTGTCCCACATATTACTGATGCTGTTCAAGAATGGGTAATGAATCAGGCAAAGGTTCCTGTGGATGCTGATAAGAAAGAACCACAGATATGTGTAATTGAGGTAAGTAAGAAATTTGTTTTATAATGTGAATGCAGAGTATTTTTCCTCATTGGTTTTATTCTGTCATTCTAAAGCTACTTTTAATAACTGCAAGGAAATAATTATTAAACAATCATTATTTATTGCTATTACGTATGTGGGTTGCATTACAGAAGCAGTTGTCATTATCTGTCAATAGCTACTTCTCATTGACCTATGTTATTTTTGGCACTCTGCATAAGATGGTAGTTCTTTCCTTTTTTAAAAAAAGCAACACTAAACTAAAATTGAAGCATATAGAGGTGATATAAGTCAATTTCCTTTCGTGTTGCTCAAACTAGTTGACTATAGATATTCCTTTTCAGCTGGGTGGAACTATTGGAGATATTGAAGGAATGCCTTTTGTAGAAGCTTTCCGACAATTTCAATTTAAGGCCAAAAGAGAGAACTTCTGCAATATCCATGTCAGCCTTGTACCACAAGTAAGTCGTTTTCATACTCTATTGTGCACTATTGTTTTACACATTTTGTTGGGAAATATTCATATAGGGTATTTTTAAGGACCGTGAATAACGAGCAAATTACATTAACTTGGTGATAGATGCGCTGATACCTGTTCATCCTATTCTCACCCTAGGTTTAGTTGCGAAAAATATAGTATCTTTGGGGGAAGGTTTGAGAAGCTAAACATTTATTACAGCTGGTGAAATAGAATAAAACCTAAACATTTTAGATGGATGGCACTGAGCCTTATAACAGATTTTAAGCAATCATTTAATATAAAATAATCCATTAGCTGTAGACACATTACTCTGTTTGAAGATATGCTTTAGGAAATCTGGGAGACTGTATGACTTCTTTTTAGAGAAGTCCAACATGGGTCTGTGGCTTCATACTAATGAGACAAAGTAGTGTACAACTCTTACTGTGGATGTTTGTGCTCAGGCAACCATAAAACAAGTCATTAAAGCAGAGAAATAGCTACTTTAGTGGCTTCCGGGCATATTAATATAGTTGCCTATCAGATTTTAATTTTGCAACGGCAGTCAATGGCACAAAACATTTATTTTTCAGCCTAATGCTACTGGAGAACAGAAAACAAAGCCTACTCAGAATAGTGTCCGGGCTTTAAGAGGACTTGGCCTTTCTCCTGACTTGGTGAGTTTGATAAAATTTTACAATATCATGTTAGAAAGGAAGGCCAGTATAAAGGTAGCAATATAACTCAGGCAGCAGGAGTGACTGGTTGGGGGGCAGGCATTACGACATACCTAGTCTCTCTTCAGCATCGTCACTGCACTTATCAAGAGGTTGTTTGTGAGAGATGGCAGGGAAGTTGGCACAGTGGTGGATCCAATCCACCAGCTGCTCCTGTCAGGTTTGAGTAGGAATGTGTTCAATAAAATCATGAAAATGTGTTCAGAATCCAAATACTTTGTTAAATACAGCAATGTATTCTTTGATGGAACAGGTAATATGCTAATGGAATGTTAAGCTAGGTGTCCAGTTGATCACACAACTTTATGTTTCTTTCTGTTCCTGTTTGGTTTTCCACCTATTATACTTCACACTTAATTCTGGGGAAGTTAAGTACCTTAAACAGACATGCATATAAGTTTTCTACTTGAAGGGCTTGCCTTAAATCTTTGGCTGTGCATATTGGTTCGGATCTGGACTTCACTCCCTCAGGCGTGTTTTGTGAGTAGAGTTCCACTAGGGGGTAATTCTTGTCCTGGAATGGTGAGGTGTGAGCAGGCAACATTTGCCAATTTACTCATCGCTCTGCAGCCCCAGCAACACCTCACAGCACGTCTCCATCCACAAAATATTTCCATCGGATAGAAAGAGCTTTTCCACTTGTGGAAGGCAAATTCTGGATCCAATCTGCTTTGCTTATTTATTAGTCAGTGATTATTTATTTAGTCCCCTTTGCTTATTTATTAGTCAGTGCTTATTTATTTAGTCCCCTCCAAAAAAGGGGAACACATATTATTGAATGTTCTCTGGCAAAAGTACAAGACATGCAAGCGAGGCCCCAGTATATAAACGTTTAACATGTCCATTTGTTTCAATCAGATAAGCTCTTAACAAGGAGGCAATTTGTGTATGAGCAGACAATCAATGAGCAGCTCATTGTAGGGCAGAAAAAGAAACTTAAAATCGTTTAGATGATAAGATGCTGTTGTTTGACTGTAAGTTGTTCAATGGGAGTGTGTTTTTTCTCCCATAGAAAACAGGACATTTAAACATTATGTTAATTATTTAAATAAATAAAAAGGAGGAAGATGTTGGTCTTTTCACAATTTGTGCTGCTTATCTGTAGATTTGTATTTTTGACAGATAGTCTGCAGAAGTACTAAACCTATAGAAATGGCTGTGAAAGAAAAGATTTCCATGTTTTGCCATGTGGAACCTGAACAGGTTGGTAAGGTCTTTAACAGTCACAGTTGTTCTAATGTCTGCAATCATTTTCTAGGTGTTTTATTTTTAGTTCATGTGACCGAGTATGTGAGACATTGGAGGCAGGTTGCGGGGGACAAACAGCAGCTCATTGAGATAATCAAAAAGTAAATAGTTATTTTCAGGATTCCTTTATTCCTTTATTCTGTAATTTATAATAGTTTATGCATTATACTACATACAGTAATATAGGCTACAAACCTAGCTCTATTTGCCTGGGAGTAATCCTCCTTGAATTCAGCGTGATTTACGGAAGCTGTACGCTGGCTTCCTCGGCCAATAAAGTGAGATGAGCACCGCAACCCCAGAGTCGGCCACGACTGGACCTAATGGTCAGGGGTCCCTTTACCTTTACCTTTTTAATCAGGAGAATGTGCTGTTTATCACTAGGACAATCAACTTATTCAGAAATCAGACTCCCATAACATCCCAGCAGAGGTCAGTGTTGCATTCTTAGACAAGCCTGCAGATTAAAAATTTACTATTCAAAGTTGTCTAACCATGAAATGAAAACAGATTCATGAGCTCCCCCCCGCCCCACCAGTGCAATTGTTTGTTTAGAGGCTGATAACTCAAAGGAAGAGGTGAAATAATAGAAGTTTATAAAATTATGCGTAGCACGGAGAAAGTGGAAAGAGAAAAGTTTTTCTCCCTCTCTTTTAACACCAGCACTCACTCTCCTAAGAGGCAAAGATGGCTTTAAAAAAGGATTAGACAAATCCATAGAGGAGAGGGTTATCAGTGGCTACTAGCCATCATGACCATTTCCTACCTCCTTAGATGGAGGCAGCAATGTGTCTCAGTACCACTTGCTGGAAATTGCAGGAGGGGAGAGTGCTCTTGTGCTCATGCTCTGCTTGCTGGTTTCCCACAGCCATCTGGCTGGTCACTGTGGGAATAGGATGCTGGACTAGACAGGCCATTGGCCTGATCCAGCAGGCCCTTTATATGTTTGATAGAAAATTATGCCTTCTCAATGCAAATTAGAATACTGGACCCATCAGATATTTTTTTTCCAATTTGGGTTTGCAGGAAGTGCAATTGTTTACCTTTAAAAATAATAATGCATATTGGATGGCCAGTATATTACAAGCTTATTTGCGGTGCAGTGCTATACATGAGTACTCAGAAACCTGGGGTCCAGAACAATCACAAGTTTTAACAAAGAACAGATATTAGTTCCAGCTTGCATTAGTTCAATGCAACGTGCAGCACCTTTGAACTCGTCTCCTCGCATTGGCTTTGCTTGGTGTGATGTGTGAATCAGGCCTTTGTGTTTAGATTATCTGTGTGTATGTTGCACTAGGCACCATAGCAGAAGAGCAGTGTATCAGATTCATTTGGGGCACTTTTTAATGAATTAATTGAACTGATTAATTAATTAATTAAAATGATTACCAACTAGCTTTAAAGTATTTTCTTCCTTTTTAGCAAGTTTTTAAAATAGCTATATGATTGTATATGATTTGTATGGATGTACTGTATCTTTCAATTTTAAGTTTCACATATCAGTAATTTAAATTTTATGTTTCATAGGTAATATTCATCCATGATGTTTCTTCCACTTACCGAGTGCCTCTTCTGCTGGAAGAGCAAGGGATAATTAAATATTTTAAAGAGAGGCTGAATTTGCCAATTGATGACCAGCCAAGTGATCTTCTATTCAAATGGAAGAAAATGGCAGATAGGTACTGTTCTTCTGTTTCTTCTTCTTCTTTTTACTTTGCACCTGCAAATCTATTTGCCGAACTGTAGTAAATAACTCAACATGCAAGCATAATTTTTAGGGTCTGTTAGTTTTGTGATGACTGTAGCAAGACAGTAGTTATAGTGTGCTCCCAGGGCTAAGATATAATCCTGGGAAATGGCTTAGTAAGACTTGTTCATAGGTTAATATGATTTCTTAAACCTGAAATGTGTCATTTTGGACAATGAGCACTGAAACAAAAATTTTATATGACTTAGCAAGGTAAATTGTATCCAACTTGTCCTCTCTGATTTCTGTGCCCAATTTCGCATCCCCGTCACTGTAAATACTGATTGGGAAAGTATGAGGGAAAGATCTTTGCTGATTTCTACTTCTTAGAACGTTAGATTCCTGCTGGATCAGGTCAAAGGCCCTTTGGTTAAGCATCCTGTCCTCACAGGGGCCAACCAGATGCCTGGATGAAGCCCATGAGCAGAACCAGAGAGCAACAGCACCCTCCCCACTTGTGATACCCAGTAACTATTGAATCAGTCAGGCTCCACATGAGAATTATTTCCATACCATCATCAATAATCACATGTTGGATCTCTTTGTTCTGTCTTTCTTTCCTTTCCCCCAAATTCATAGGAATCGGTTTTAAAGATAGTCCAAAATCTGCCATTTGAGACAGAGCCCTTTGCCCTGCTTATTGGCTGGAGCCTAGTTGTAATAGAAGCCTTAGCAATCTGAATTTACAGCACTTCAGATTATGTTTTTCCATGGTTTTTTTAAAAAAAAATCATATGTAAGAAATAGATATTTAGACCAAAGGTAATTCAAGTTTATGTGGTTTAGTGACTTACTAAATATAAGAAAAAATGTGTGTGTCCCCCTTCCTTGTGGAAATTTGCACATTGATTGATTTTTTATATTGTCAGGTATGAAAGGATGTTGAAGACATGTTCTGTAGCTCTGGTTGGCAAGTATACAAAGCTGAGTGATTGCTATACCTCTGTTTTCAAGGCCCTAGAACATTCAGCCCTAGCAATTAACCACAGACTCAATTTAATGGTGAGGACTTACCGTATTTTTCCATGTATAAGACGAGCCCCCTTTTTTAAAACCCAAGATTTAAGAAGTCTTAAGTCTCCGTAGGCAGCTGTGTGCACTTCCTATGTTTCTCTAATACCACCTGCCAAGCAAAGGGATGGAACAGGCCCAGGAGGCACTTTCCTTGCAGTGCTCCAGTTGCTGTCCTTAACCTTGCACGGTTTGTGGCATGGTTGTGGCATACCCAGCAGCCATGTATGTGCGAGAGAGAGCGGCATGTGCATCTGGGGAGGGGAGGGGAAGGAGAAGGAGAAGGAGGAGGCGACACTTGCGGGGAGCTGTGCCTGCCTCCCATGTGGAAACATGTCTTTGGTGGCGGAAACTTTCACTGCAGCTGGGAAGATCAAGGAAATCTTGGTCGCTGTGTTGCTGAAAGAGAGACTGTATTTTTCTGTGTATAAGACAATCTAGCATAATTAAGCAAAAAAATCGTCTTATACATGGAAAAATATGTTACCTTGCTTCCGTTCTTTGCATTCTCCTTCCTTACTTAAAAGCTAGGCTTTCACTTCATGAATATTGCTTAGAAATAAAGGATAAGTTGATTATAACTTAATGGGTGTAGAACTATGGAGTGACTTGAACATGATGTTTATTTTGAAAAACGATACAGTAATTCCCTTAACTGGATTTGTGCATTATGAAGGGAATTGCATACATTTAACAAATACTAACATGGACATTTGTTGACTTTATTAATCCTATTTGCAGCATTAAGTACTAAGGCATTGATTTAACATATGACTAGGAATATCCATTTACACTTACAATTTTTCAACTGGCTAATCTACTTTAGGTGTAAGTGTTCTGTGGACTGTGGTTTTAACTCTGCACTCCTGTGTTCCCCAGGAGAGCATTTCAGTATTTATAGGAAACATCAGATCTCACTTTCCAAAGCAGTAAAGAGAGTTCAGAGGGAAGAGGGGAATATGCAGTATTGGATTACTCCTCCCCATAGAAACATCCGTGGCCTATAGCTGCAGTGTCAGTAGTGTCAATGGGATGTGTGCCATGCAAGGACCAGAGGAAGATTTGGATCCAAAAGATCCAGCGACTTCTCAATCCCCCACCGCAGCCCCAAACAAGAAGATCAAACTATGCCAGCCTTGGAGCATTTATGTGAAGTATTGATAGCAGCAAGCTTCTGCATTTTACATGCTTTCTTTGGCTGCATGTGCCTGGCACATAACCTAAGCAGGATCTCACCCCCACTCATCAGCTAATTGCTATTGGGAACAGGCCCCTGCAGCCAATGTAAAATTGAACCCTGCCCTCCCTCCCCCAGCTGATGTCATGGGTGATATCAGCTGATTGATAGGTGGGCATGGTTTGGGGGGAAATGGCTTCACAGGCCAAACTGGACCTCCTAATGGTTCAAGCTTGTCCTCCAGACTGAAAGTTCCTCCACACCTGCCTTTCCATCATTTGGAAAAACAAAAAATGTAAAATAACTGCTTTCTATCAGAAAGTTAAAAGGGAATATAGTGATACAAGATAGTTTCGTAGCATAGCAAAGCTTTCATGTTGTTTAAATTACAGCAATCCTAGTCATCTATGGAAAAAAGTATGTACCATTCTGAGGCGATGGTATTTTTCATGTATTCAGTTTTCCCCCATTGGAAATGCCTATAGTTTTTTCATTAGTTATAGAGTATGAAGATCATTATATGAAAATAATTGTATTGTCTTACACATGAATGTGAGTGTGTATGTGTTTTCTTAATTAGTATATAGATTCAACAGACCTTGAAAATAATACAGAGGTTGAGAATCCAGTGAAATTCCACCAAGCCTGGCAAAAACTATGCAAAGCAGAGTAAGTGATGGTCTAGCTCTTAAGCTCAAATAATTTTAAAACTTTCCAGTTTCAATACCTTGTTGCCTTCTAATTTCAAGTGCTTACTTTTGTTAGCTTATTCTTTGCAAATATATTGTACAAAGACACTTAGATTTGTTAAAAACTCACATTAGACCTTAAGCCAGGGCTTTCCTAACTTTTCATGTTGGTGACACACTTTTTAGACACACGTCATTTCGCAACATAGTAATTCAGTTTTACCAGCAAACTGACAATTAAACTAACCCCTTTCCAGCCCAGGGAGGAGCACAGGGAGTGTTCACACGACATACCTACACGCTGCAGCTGACACACTAGCATGCCGCGACACACAGTTTGAAAAGCTCTGCCTTAAGCATTGGGATGCCTGTATTTAGAGCTTATCCATGCTGAACTGATACTATGATTCTGAACATGTTAATTTAAAGCAAACTTTCTGCAAAACTTACAATTTGTTCTGAGACTCTTAATAGGCACATAAAATGCCATGTAGACATGGAATTTTAAAACTGAACACTTGACAAATGTAATGTTGATGGGCTGTTAAGAGATAACAAGAAGGATGGCTTAAACTGATTGCAAATGCCTTGTGTTTTAATATATGCCTAGTCTAGTTTGTTTTGCACAAAATTGTCAAATGTTATAAATTAAAATAACATAAATGTATTTTAAAGTGTATATTTTCATTGAAATATAGTGGAAGCCTTTCTGAATGCTTCCACTATTTCAAGTTTACAATTCAAAGCACCGGCTAGGATTCATAATGTGTGCACTGTACACTGTACACTTCGGCATTTTGGTCTGTAATTTGTGACTTGAAACTCTGGAGTAACTTGAACAATCTGGTGAATGCTTATAGAGATCTACAGTATTTGAAGCAGAACTGATTTGCTGTATGGTGATTATGATGTATTTGTACTGTCCAATTTTCATGATGTGAATTTTAGTTATTACTCTTAGATCAGAAATCTGAACAAGCTGAGAGCTTTTGTGCACAGTGAGGTCTTGCTGCGGTTCCTGTACATACATGTCACCCCCCCAAAGTAACATGTTAAACTAACTCGCCATTCTATCTTCTCATCTGCTGCTGTGTTTGCATTTTGTATTTTATTCCAGTTGTATATTAGTTCCTGGAGGTTTTGGACATAGGGGAACAGAGGGAAAACTTCAAGCCATTTCATGGGCAAGAAAAAAGAAAAAGCCTTTTCTTGGTAAGACTTCAACACCAGGAGTGGGTCAACCTGCGCAGTCTCATATTTATAAACTAGAATCCATCTGCTTTACCGATGTGTTTTTGATTTACAAAACATAAGTGTCCACTCAGAGACTATTATTAATTAAGGCATGACTAATCTGTGATCAGTTGGCCTGAATATGCACTTCTTAGCGATGTTCCCTACTAATTGAGATCAAGGCTCACTTAGTTCAGCATTTTAATTTTTTGCAAAAATCACAGCAGCACTAGGGTTCTACTGGAAATCAACTCGCCCTACCTTCTGCCCAGTGTTCAAAACTCCCATTGTTCTAGGCACATTATGTATCAGGGAATTTCATTAGTGCGAGCAGTTTCTGATCTCTGGGTGCAGTACTGCACCTAAGATTTCAGATTAAAACTGCAGAGTGGAAGGAAAGGGGGGCCTTTTTCTGCCTCCCCACTTCCAGCTACTCTCTGATGACTGGAGAAGAGACCCTCTTAAGAATATTAGGGGGGTGGGCAGGGGAAGGACTAGGCCATGTGAAAAATGAACATAATATCTTAACTCCAGTTCATTCATTTTCAGCTTTGTATTCTTGTTATAAAAAAGCGCACCTAGACATTCCGTTGTTGCGCCCATAACCTAGGATTAAGGTGCCATTTAGCTCCTAGCTTTCATATCTCAGTTTCTAACACTGCTTCTGACTATTCCTGCAGTACACTTCCATTTCTTACTGAATGTTTTTGACATGCCGCATATTTACTCAGAAGTGTATTGTACTGAGTTACGCCCGCATAAGTGTGCATAGAGTTCTAGCTATAAGATTAAACTAGAGAAGATGAAACCATGCTGGAGGACAATTTAGATCAGGAAAACAAACAGTGCATGGGAGGAGGGTTAAATTTCCCTTTCCATTTTCATGGCCCCAATCCAAGTCTGTCATGGTTTCATTTATTCAACTTTTTATAACATTGAGGCTATGTGATTGTGTATGACCTATTGTCTGTTCTGATTTTGCCCTCAGTGTTTAAAGTAAAACTAAACTTTGCTGAAAAAAGCAAAAAAGAGAAACTAAAAAAGCTTTCTAGTTCTTAGATAGGTCCATATATCCATTTCATTGGAGTATACAGTTATAAGTTTGGTCCCATTTAAATCGCTTTAGCAGGAGTAAATTAGGACAGGTCAGTTTTGATCTAATGAGTCCTGTTGGGATTGTATTAAACAGTGAAAAACCTAATCTTTCAAATTAAATCCAAATCAAATGCTTAGCCCAATAGTTGCAAAGATAATTCTGAATTTTTATAAGGGCAAAAATGTCCACTGTAGTCATTAGTGCCTGAAAAAGATGCTCACACAGTTTAGGAAGTCTGTAAATTGGGCTAAACATTTCAGGAATATAAAAATTTAATTGGTCTCTTGTGACAAAATGCATCATTAGTTTTGCATACTGGAAAGCATTTCAGTTTTGACATTTGAAACTGAGGTTTGTTTTTATTATAATATGTTGCTAGAATGTTGAGTGAGTGGGAAAGAAATTGGTTTGGATTGTGTTTGGAAACAATTTGTTGCTGTTTTATAACATGTAAGAATTTCTATGGAACCAGTACCTGAGAGTTTCTAAGGTTTGATTTAAATGATATACAAATACATATATTGTAGAAACTGCTCATGTGGAAGTTGCATTTTCTGAATATCCATAGTAGTTGGTCAGTTATGGACCCTGGATTTTAATATTCCTGAATCTGAGAAGTAGGGAGAAGGGGAAAGAGGTATAGAGGTTGATGGCTCTGGATCAAGCAGGAGCCGAAGGGAAAATGAGAATATGGTTTGAGAGATAGAAGAGAAAAACGGAATCTTACGTCAAAGTCTGAGGTTGTACAGTGGCACCTCAGGTTACATACCCTTCAGGTTACATACGCTTCAGGTTACAGACTCTGCTAACCCAGAAATAGTGCTTCAGGTTAAGAACTTTGCTTCAGGATGAGAACAGAAATCGTGCTCCGGCGGCGTGGCAACAGCAGGAGGCCCCATTAGCTAAAGTGGTGCTTCAGGTTAAGAACAGTTTCAGGTTAAGTACGGACCTCCGGAACAAATTAAGTACTTAACCTGAGGTACCACTGTAGCTTGAGGCAGTATTTGCACCACTAATGAACATATAGGTACTTACCTATAGCAGGCACTTCTGTAAGGTTTTCATTGATTAATCTGGGTAGACTGTGTTTGCCTGTTTTGCACATCCTGTGACTGTTTTGTGCTTGCAAGTTGAGGGTGAGTTGCCAAAGCTGTACTAGAAAATCAAACTTATATCACCCCAAACTACTCTGAATTTAAATAGTGGTTAGTGAGAAGTGATATGTTGCAGCAGTTAATAGAAAAATCTTTTGGCAAAAACATTTGATTTCATTTTTATATTAAATCCCACTTTCCCATAATTGAGTTCTCCAAAGCCAATAAATATGAACTGGGTCATGGCCTAGAATATAAAAAGTTTGAGTTTTTGTGCTCATTCATTCTTCTTTTCTGTTTCTTCTAGGGGTTTGCTTGGGGATGCAGCTGGCAGTAGTGGAGTTTGCAAGAAACTGTCTAAACTGGCAAGGTGTGTTACCTTCTATGAAAATTGTTCATTTAAAGCAGGGATGGGTGACATTTGCTAGCCAATGGGCTAGATCTCCCTGCCATGCCAATTTGACAGGTGGACAAAGAATTGTCATTTCCTGACCCTCATCTTCATTCTTCTGCTGTGGGTGTACTCCTTATATTGGCCTTTAGCTTATCTTTATTTCCTGAAACAAGGACAAGTGAAGTGCTGTAATTTTGAACATATGTCTCTCTGTGGATGTTAAAATTCATATGATCCCCCCCAAACGTTTTGCTGATACGTGTGCCAAAAACCTCCCCTTCAAAATGACAAAGGTGCTATATTTAGTTTCACCATCTTTAACATTTAAAAATGTCGTTGCTCTTTTTCTGCAGATGCAAATTCTACAGAATTTAACCCAAACACAAAGAATCCTGTTGTAAGTATTGAATTTCCCCTTATGGTTTTGATAGATCTTTTGTGCTGGCTACTTAACAATTGTGTCAGTCATAGTGGCATTAAGAGAGGCTGAAAGTTTGTTCCTCTATAGCAGTGAGTGGGAAATCTGTGGTGCTCTAAATATTGCTAAATATTACTAGACTTCCATCTCTTCCAACCAGCACCAACCTGCCCAAATGTTGAGGGATTTTGGAAGTTGTAGTTCAGAAGGTCACATGTTCCCCATACCCTTTTCATATCCAAAGAAATAATTGACATTTGTTAATATTCCATTTTGTATGTTCTGGTGCTCAGCTCCAACAGAGAAAACATATTTGGCACTTTGCCCTGATGATCTCTGTTTTCAATTAATGAGACTTTCCATTAGACAAATTTAATGGGTTATCACCATTGCAATTGATCAAACTGTAGAGAGGTTGCATAACAGGGGTCATAGAGCAAATAAGTGAATCATTTGCAAATTGCTGATTGGTTTTGGATAAATCTGTTTAAAAAGATCATTATCTTGAGGATTAGTAAATGAAGAAGTAATAACAGTACTAATTTTAGCAGTTCCACGTGGTCAGAATAATTCTGGAATTACTTTAATGTCAAAAAACACCCTAACCATTATCTTGCATTGATCAAGAGCTGACTAGTGTTCTGTATAGGATAATAGAGCTCATATTAAAGAATATGTCTCTGGTTGGACTTTTCAGATAGCTTTTGCCAAGTTCCCAGACTCTAAAAAGCCTTTGCATTAGGAGATGTACTCCTATTTCTAGGGTTCAAAGGCCAGCTAAAAAACAAGAACCAGAAGTTATGAATAACAGAGAATTTTACAGTGGAGAGTTGTAAACAGCCGGCTAGTAAGATTAGGATTATTTGGTGGTGGTTGGTGCCCATTGGTGCATTCCGTAGGATCTAAGGCAGAGGGACCAGCAGCTGGTGGAGCCAGAACCAGCGACCGACAGACCCAGTCCTAGACTGGTTATAAGCAAAATGACAGGCGGGTGGCTGAGGGCAGACTGAGCTGGTGGGGCAGTGCTCCTTAGACACATAGCAGAGAAAGCTCATATAAAATGTCAACTCAGTGTAATGCAACAGTGAAAAGGGCAAAGTTTTTAGGAAAGGGACTAGATATATATAAAAAGAAGTATTAACCATAGACTTAGTCCAGTTGCATATGCTTTGTGTAAACCCTTTAAATCTACTAGTCAAGATTGTGCAGTCATCATACATGCATGGTTTGAAAGCAAATAAAGTAAATAAAGTAGATTTTTATTCAATGACATCCATCGTTCCACAATGATTAAATTTAGTTTTAGAGAGATTCTTTCTACAAATGTAATTGTAAATGTCCATAATAGGTTGGTTTGGGGATCTTGGAAGTACTTTCTGTCTGTTGTCTCTTCCTTGGATGCCTTAGGAGAGCAAACCGGTTATTCCAGCCAAATTAGACAATCCTGCCAAACTGCCTAACTTGCTCATCAGTGCCTTGAAGTCATTAAAGTTGATTTTTCCATCTTTATCCAAGTCCGCGTATTTGGATATATCGTTGAGAGACATTGAACCCTGTAAGTTTTAGTTGGGTGGTGGTAAGGGAGTGGAAAAGAAAGCAAAATAGTTTTATATACGATAACTTTCAGAATAGTGAGTTACAGAACATATTTAAGGTAATTTTTTTCCTTGAAACATGGTTATCTATACACAATAATTTTGAGCAAGCCTTTTCATTTCCTTATAGGTGGTGTACAATTTTATCAGGGTATATGTTGGGTACACCTATGAACAATTCTGGCACACTGTTTTCCCCCCCCCATCAGCCCCGTTCTGTGTTCTTCTTCCAAGTTAGAAACGGAGACAATATTCCTTGCCTTCCTCTCAGGAGTTAGAGGCTACATTTGGTTTGGGAAAACAGGATGTGGGACCAGGTGTAAAAAAGCAGACCTGCCCTGTCCTTTACTTGGCCTGAGTAAATGGCCTCATTGATGGGTGATGGAGAACTGGGAGAGGGGGGTTAGAAAAGAACTGTAATTCCCCTTCACATCCAATGTAACAGGCTTTTATTGGTTTCAAACACTGCCTTTCAAAATAAAAATATAAACATACAATTTTTTATATTTATAAATATTTTCCCAAAGCATAATAGAAATATAAAATGAAAATCTATCAAAACAGATACCTAAATCATAATTTAAACACTGAAACAGAAGTTTATAAAACAAATATGCAAAAGCCATTAATTATAATTGTAAGTTTTTAAACTGTTTTCAAAGTTGTTTTTCAAATAGTTGTGACTCGCCCCATGACCTTAGCGTTGAAGGGTGGGTAACAACTTAAAACACCAACAAAAACAATAATAATTGACTCTAGCATCACACCAAGATATGTAGCTTGAGTAGAGGGATGTTAAGAAGTGGGGCAGATAGGATCTGACTTAGTTCACAAAGGCTCTCAGTGAATTAACTGAGTACCATTCACATCTGTGGAAAAAAGACAAAGCACTGTACTTGGAGCAGTTAAGCTAGAAAGCTAAACCACTGAACTTTTGTTACGGTGCAAAATCTGCTCTGCTCTCAACAGTGGCTCAGCCTCCGTGGCCATTGCATACTCTCCCTCGAGCAGTCCTCTTGTACTGAACAGACAGTCTACAGAAAGGTATAATAGGCCAGGAAGGCAAACCTAACTCGCTGTGCCTTTAACATCACAGCCAAAGTATGCTTTGGTCCTGCCCAAACCTGCCTTTAATTTAGGGAGATGGCAAGGCAAATGTTAAAATCTGATGACATAAGACTGACATGAGACCCATATTAGTAGGCCTCCATTAGCCTGTGGCTGGGATTTTGTTATTGTTATAGAAACCAGACATGGCGTCTCTGTGCCCAGCTGCTTTTGTTCCAGGCCACAACCGGGATCACAGCACTGCCATTCACTAAACAAGTGCTTCCCAAGAACATTCGGCAACTATTTTTATTCCCAGGCTCCTGCCACATAGGCTGCTTGTGGGAAAAGCAAGAGTAGATCTGTGGACGGAGAACAATCTCTTGGCTGTTGCTGGGAGGTGTGAAGGAACTTTGCATTGAAGTGAATGGCATGACCATGCTGCTGTGCGCCTTGTGAGAGAGGGTTAGGACTTCTGATCACCACTCTACATGGGGTACAAAGATTGCACTACACTCAGTAGCTGTACCAGGCATGTTAACAGAAATAAGATACATTTGCAGATAGTTCTGTCTACTTTTGCAGAGCATATTAGCATTTTAAGCGTTTACTTTCGCACTGCTTTTTAAAAAGTGCAGCTGCACCCTTTTTCTCATACTTTGTTTTATTAGCACGCTATGTGGTTGTTTGAGACAGCGCATTTATCTCTTAGTATTTGAGCTTTTGTGCTAGCAAATGCTGTTTGTGAATGTGACCTGTGGTGCACATTCTTTTTGTGGCATTCTTATCTACTGGGTATTACTATTTCTTTTAATATTTCTATGACTCACATTAAGCTGAAAGACGGTGATTGCCCACCTAAGTGGGTATCTGAACATGTATTTCTTCATTGTTCAAAACAAGCATTCTAGCCACTAGATTGTACTGATCCTAACAGCTCTGGTGAGTTACATTTTTCAGCTGCAATTTTCCCTTAATGTATATTCCCACTGTCCTTGCTGAACTCATCTTTTGTTCCAAAACTATTATAAAAGTTACTTTTATGTACAATTTATCCCAAATATTAGCTTTCACTAAATACCTAAATGAAACACTTACATTTTAGCAAGGAGCATATATTTTTAAAAGTACCTATTAATTGTGCATAGTTTTCTCTAGATTTAATTTTGCACAGAAATGGATAGACTAGAGCAGGCTTCCTCAACCTCGGCCCTCCAGATGTTTTGAGACTACAATTCCCATCATCCCTGACTACTGGTCCTGCTAGCTAGGGATCATGGGACTTGTAGGCCAGAAACATCTGGAGGGCCGAGCTTGAGGAAGCCTGGACTAGACTCTTTGTTTCAGAAGGCACTGGAATGCTTATTATGAACTTAAACAGAACTTAAGCAAATTTGCTAACATTTACTCTATACACACGTATCAACCCATTCTTGTTTGGGCCTGTTCTGACAGAGTCTTGTTTATATCCATTGAACACTTTGGGGGTCTGCTGGAAGCTACCATATTAAAAACTGGATGCTACGATATTAAAAGAGAAAGAAAATTTTGAGGGCTTTATATTGTTGGCATATTCAGCAAGTTCACTAGGTAATTCTTAGAGCACCCTTCTGTTGTTCTAAGTCCTGACTTTGACATCTTTCCATTGTGGTTCTCAATTTATAATTTCCCCACCTATTCTGTAATCCAGTGACGCTCTTTATGTAAGTAACTTAGAGAGGACTCTCGCCTCAGAAACCAACAACTAACTTCAGCTAAAATAATAATTTTTTTCAAAATTTGATATTATAATCAACTTCCTTGTCTCTAGCTACTTAAGATTCTAGCAGTAACTAAAATTTCACCATAACACGTTCATAGATTGCCCAGTGTTTTGTATAATCAAACCCATATATTTGTCTGAAGAAACCCTTAAAATGTTAATTAAAATGTTTGAAAAACATTTTGATGGAGAGATTTCAATGTTTGAAAACATGATTTCATCTAAATTAAAACTTTTCAAGTGCGATCAACAAAAACAATCTAAATATTGCAAATGTTTTTCTGAACAATATTTTCAGCATGTAAAGTAAAGACAAACATTCAAGCATCAGTGTACTAGATTTCTTTTTTCCTTGTTACCTTTTGTAAAACATGCTTTTCTTAGGATCAGATTATCCTACTTTTCTCAGGTTGCCTAACAGCTACAAATAATCACTATAGAAGCAGTTCACCAAAGTAAAGCCTGTATTAATTTCATTTAGAATTGGATATGAAGCTACATAAATTATTACAATGAATGGAAGCTGTTGTCTATCTTGCTGAATTATTCCCACATTGCTGTCCCTCCCCATCCCTCCCTTGCTGTCCAGTCATGTTTTAAACTCTTCAGAGCTTCGTTGGACTATGTCCCTTGTTTGTACTTTAGTGAGTTGGATTTGTTTGGAAAATACCACAAATTAGATGCAGGCTTTGGTAAATATTAATGTTATCTAGTGTAATTGGCAGTCCAATTTGGAAAGACTTACCAAAACATTCGAGAAGTGGCTCTGAATCAAACTTTTAAGTCCGTCCATGGAAAGCAGTTGCTTGCTACCTTCTTTCATAGCATACTGAGTGAAGAGACTTAAGAGTTGGTCACTATTAAATTCTGCCATATTTTTGTATATTCGAAAGCTGTAAAAGAGCAAAGTTAACATATTTTGAAGTCTGTAGAGGGGAAATACATTGATTTAATACGACAACTACATAGGTATGTGGAAAATGTAGTTTTATATAGCAATTACAATGAAGCCATTTTCTCTTAAGTTGCTAATTCAGCTCATACAACATTAATTGCAAGCTAACTGACATCATATGTGAAACTTCTGACATGTAAGAAGCTGCGGTATTTTCTCCTGTGGAAAAACTTTATCATGTTTTCCTGATGCATATTTTTCTTGGAAAGATAAAAACACATTTTTCTTTATACACTGTGGTGCAATGCATTCTGAAAGTAGTAGAATTGAGGACATTCATAGAAGACATCCAAAAAGACATAGAATAAATAAATCATATTTACCTAATACTCCAAAAGCAGAGGCTCTGCAAGTGCAATGTGAGAAGCGCAGGGCTGAGGCATCCTTTTATGTCTCTCCCGCTCCACCCTGTTATGCCTCTCACTCCGCCCTGATTATGAAATTTGTCTTTGCTGACAGATGTTGGATGTGTTACATACTTTTAACATTCACGTTTATTTTTTTAAAGAACAAAATATGGTAATTGGATTCACCCTGCCGGTGTATCTTAGAAGCTTTGGTTTTTCCTTTTCAGATGTGTTTTTGGGATAAGGAAATAGCTGGATATTGCTAGAACTTTGTTATATTTTTAACAGCAGCCCACGCTTTTGACAGATCTATATAGAATCTTTGTAACCAGGCACACTGCAGTATTACAAGTTTTTCCTGATTCCCCTCATTCATACTTGTAATACATCTGTGGTGTAAGTAGGAAATGCCACAGCATGCCCTGGCCCATGCCAGCTTTGGAAGGCCCATGTCTGATAGTTAAGTCTATATCGATAAAAGAAGCACTTACAGCAACTCCCGCAGCGCATATGCACAAACATGCCTCTAGCCACCAAGCAACTGTCCCCCCACAGATATGCTCCTTGCAGTGCAGTTGAAGCAACAGTGAGACGCCACCCCTCTGCTGGCTATAGCACACCTGTAGCCCTTGAAAACATCTATCCTTTCAAAGGAATTAAGTAACCGAGAAGAAGAAGTTATAAAATGACTATTAAGTCATCCTGATTTTAGCACAGTTCCATGTAGTTTTGGCATTTTAGCAGGATGTTAGAAACTAATAAGATACTTAGACAAATAATGTTTTTCAGAAGAGATAGGTAATACAGGTAGGTGGCAGCTACCGGTAGGTTGTAAAATAATATTTTAAGCAAAGTATACTGACTTCATTGGCTGGTAGTAGTATATCAAATTTCAAATCTGAATTCAGGACAAACTAAGCTGATACTTTTAATGAATTCTCTGTATCACTGGTTCCCAATTAGCTATTTACTGAGGACCCCCTATATTTCAAAGGCCAAGCCACAGACCCCCTACTTTTGAAAATTTTTATAGCTCCATGGTAGTTACCTCTGCAGAGCAATTTTTTGAACAAAATATGGGGTAGCCTCTAATAAGCAAAGGATTTTAGGTATATTAAAAAACAAAATAGGGCTGAGTGATACCTGGTATTCAGCATTGTGATATATCAGCAGCTAAACATCGCAACATTCCGATATATCACAATGTCTATAAAGGGAGATCAGGCATGGGGATGAGGGAAGGAACAGTCACAGAGATCTGTTAAGAGAGTCGAGTAAGTATTTGTGAGGGAGTGGGGTGGGTGCTACTGCTGGTCTGCTTCAGGTTACTGCATTAACTGCACCTTATTAGTGATGATGTTTTAAATCTTCAGAACGACACACCTGTTTGTTGTGACAATGAAGAACACGGCTACTGTTGTATTGTTGGCTGCATAGTACTGATTTGTTACCATCATGATGCCTGTTGCCATTTACTCCCTGTTTATCTCCTCTACATCTAAACACCCCCACATTTCTCATAGGGCGTATGCTCTATAAACTGGGTGTGTACATTGAATCCAGGGAGCTTAATGATTGGCCTAGGGCACTAGGACATTTCATTCTGAAGTTATTGCTGGCCTAGAAGGAATATGGTCTTTTCCATCATTCCTTTTCATTTCTGATATCTGCTGATAATAAGATCTAAGAAAACAGTTATAAGCTGTTATTCATCTTGTGCATTTCTGTACCCCCATCTGTTGTATTGATAAATGTATTTACAACAGAACAAATCTTTGCTAACGAATTTATTTGCTTATTCTCAAAGCCTGCTCCAAAGGCAGTATGATGCTGAGAGACATGATGTTGTTTGACAGGGTTAAAGGAAAGGCAACAGCTGCAGGAGACTCAGGAAGTGGGGCTTCTAATGCAAACAGGCAGAAGTATTGCATGTTTGGATGAAGGCATGCCAAGAGAAGCAATCACTATATAAAAGCTAGTTCCTAAGTTCCATCCTGCTCTGTCAAACTCAGACGGGTCCAACACTCATATTGTTTCACTACAAAATGTCATTTCTTCCTGTAATCAACTATAAAATCTACCTACAGTATACATTAAACTGGGAAAAACAGAAATTTATTTTGCAATTTGGGCAGTTTATGTATTGGTGGGGATGAAATCACATGTACATGATCCGTAATGGTGTCCGTTTCCTAATCGTAAAGGTGATTCAGTAATGTATGGAAGGGATGCTGTGGATTGTTTTAGGGATCCAGATTGGAGATCCTGTCTCAGATGTAGCTACAGCTCTTTCTTCTCCAAATTTGGTGGGTACCTTTTGGTTCGTGCAAGTTGAGGATGTGGACATAATTCTTGGGAAAGTATGGTCAACTACATTCTTGCCTATCCTGGCTTACGACAGCACTTTAGGACTGAATTGCTTGGTGATAATTTAGTAAGTATCCCATTAGAAAAAAGGAACAGATTTTTAAAATAGGCTTCAGCAATTAACACTCAATATTCAATACACCATTCTTAGACAACATATCTGAGTGTGTTGTGGCATTTCACCTTGTAAAGTCTGCTTTTGTTTTGTTCAGGTAATTGGGAATGGCAGTGAATAAAGGTGGTATTTAGTTCTAGTTTTTTGTTTTTTTAAAAAAAAATAAAAAAGAATTAAGTTTACTGGTTTATTCTATAGGACAGAGTTTAATTGGGCCAGTGCCGGAATATAGCACAGAAACTTTTGTTAGGATATTTCCGTTCCACCTTAAGAGGGAGCAGGCTGTGAGTCACAGAGTCTGCGTATTTCCTGTTACAGGATGTTTATGTTTGCTATTGCTTTCGTTTTCTCTGTCTGTGCTTGAACGCTGAAGCAGACGGTCATGTCTTCTGTTTGCTCTGACCAACATTGAATAAAATGTAAATATGCTCTCCTGCTGTGCATGTTTTGCTGTGTGGATTCTGCTGAAAGAGTGTGCACCAGCCTAGGAATGTGGCAATCTATTTCAAAGGCTTCGTGCCGCTAATTGGTGATACTGCGTGACTGCGGGAGGCTGATGGATCGTCCGGCAGCCGGCTTGGGGCCTCAGATGGACGTTATCTCCCTGGCAGTATCCCAACAACTTTCACCTACTTTTCATGAAATATCTGACCTCAGAGCCCTCCAGTTCTGTGCCTTCAGTGAACATTTCTTATAGGAATTCTATAAATGAGCATGAAAATGGTGGATGTGATTGGCACCATATCTTGTAATGATCACAGTTCTGTAGTTGGTTACCACAACACCATGGTTTCTGGAATGAATATATAATATATAATATATAATATATAATATATAATATATAATATATAATATATAATATATAATATATAATAACTTAGCCTCACTAAGAGTAGACTCCTGGAAATCTGTACTTGGGTTATTGATTTCAATCATCTATTCTGAATATAAATCATGCTGTATATCACCCATAGTAAACAGTCTAAGACAATCAGATTTGTACTCATGATAGGAGACACCTGTTTTAGATATCCAGAGCACTGGCAGATATAGTAGAACATAACTCCATGTCCTGCCCATGTGTTTCTGTCATAAGCACCACTCCCAACTCTTTCCATTCCATGTATGTGTCATGATGTACAATGAAGGTGTGCCTGCATCTCTAGATTCAGATGGCCTATTAGGAAAGAATCAGCAAAGTTCAAATTTTGAGGTGCACAGCATCCTTGCATTCAACAAAGGCTCCAGACACCAGTGACTAACACCATATTGCAGCTTCTATTGGTGCTCTTTTAAGCCTGGAACAATTAATCTATGGCGGCAATCCTAAACTGGGGTAAGCCCCAGGGAACTTACTGGGGTGTGCTTTTGACTAGACATACTTGGGATTGTGTTGTAATTGTCACATGTGTCCTGTGAGTCAGCAGATGCTTGGATCTTAGAATGAAACCACCTATCCCTTCCTTAATTGTTTGTGGTTAATCAACTAATTATCTGTTGCCTGGAATGTCCACACTTAATTTGTGGTCTGTAGCAATTTATTTTAAACATCATAGGGTAATTCATATATCCTTTGGAATATGTAATTGTATAAACTTCTAGCAGGTCAAAGGACAAGAATGCAATGGGCCGGCCAAGCCAGGGTGACAAGGACCATAAGGAGGGCTCTGGTGGGTTGTGGGACCCTTTGCTGGGAGTGAGGCAATCTTTAAATGAATATCCCAGTGAGGGAAATATGGGGTAGGGGGTTCCACATCCATTCTTTATACAACATGGGATGGGAAACTTCCTCAAAAAAAGGATCTGTGTATGACAGGCTTTTTTTTAAAGGTCTGCTTTCTTTTTTATTTTCTTCATTGTTGTGTGATGGAGCAGTCGCTGCCAGAACCAATGTGTGCTCTATGCCTTGCAGAGTGAGTGGTAAACTGGCAGGTCCAGAACAGTGCTGTATCATTAATCAAAGACCACTCAATAGCGTGCTGCAAGAGATTTACCAAGTGCTTTGAAGATAAAATTGTTAAGTTGCAGTTTGTGGTTTCAACATCAGTTGTTGCTGACGGAATATGTTGACAGGAGACTTGTAGCAGTGAGAGGAGCTACATGCCCCCTCAATCCCTGCTCATCATGGCTGATAAAGTCTAGAAGTAAGTGACTGACTTGATGGGTGCAGGGAATGGTTAATGTCTCATTGTGAAAGGGAGTCATTGAAAGAGGCAGTGGTGCAGCCCTGCTTGAAAAAGTCCTCCCAGGATCCAGAGGTCTAAGAAAACTACCACCTAGTCCCTGATACTTTCTTCTTGGGCAAGATGTTCTAGTGATACAGGTATGCCTTGAGGAAGCAGTTAATCTAGACCTGGCTCAATATGGTTTCAGGTTCAGATTTAGCACTAAAGCAGCCTTGGTCCCCCTGGTTGATGGCCTTTATTGGAAGACAGATGGAGTGGGAGTTGGTTCCCTTAGCTTTTCCTTGACCTCTCAGTGGTTTTTGACATGGTTGACCATGAGGTCCTGGAATTACTCTGGAAGATGGTACTTGGA